AGGATAACAAATTTGGTGTCATTTTGTGGATAAAATAGCAGCAGAATTAGCACAAAAAAGTACAACTTCACAAACTAGTCTTTGAATTGTGTGCGGAAATGCACAAAATAATCAATTTTCTTTCATATTTTTTTCAGGTTTTGTCTGTTTTCAAGTATGTTTGACGATTAGTATCTATACAAGTTTGTCAACAATCGCTAGAACAACACGTTATTGTTCAATTGACAAAACCCCCTTAAATATCGGTATGTCGTGACCAAACAGATTGTATATATATCCATAAGTTCCACAATTTGCACCACCTAATGTGGTAAATTGTCCAAATGTCATTTCAGAAGAAACGATAAGTGTATTGAACAGTTCATCTGAAAAATGACTAGAATATTACTTTCTTTTAGCATAGCTTGAATGGACGATGTTGCACCACATAACAGCATCATTTTGCAACTTTCAATGCAACAGCATTCGCACTGGGATTTTTATACCTTCAGGTATAATATGCATTACGAAGTGTTGTTAACTTATAAATTAATGTCTATACGAGTAATAAACTACTACCTGCAAGCATTGTTCTCTGAGAACAATAAAGTCTGCAGGTGATTATATACATTGTTGTACCTAAGACAAACATCATTTGAATTATCTAGTCGGCCTTGTAAGGTGAAGATATTATTCAAATCACAAATCGACTGATTGACAGACAACGAAATAATATTTTAATTTATGTGCTAATGTCTTGATTAATATAATTATAAAAATATATCTATATATAAAATTGAGCTAATAATAATCAGCTTTTGCAACCTTGCAGCGTAGTGACAAACAAAAAATGATGATGGTACAAACATGTAATTTTTAACTGATTCCGGGATGCGGTGAATCAAGGAATTCATTAAGTTTTAACGGATTCCAATTCAACAGTTTATATATCATACAATTTTGTCCATTCGAATACCTACCCACCGCGCACTTGCGGTACTTTGATAACGTTTCATTTCAAATAAACGCTTTTAATAATCATAATAGTATATACAGAGGGTGATTCACCAGTCATGATCAAAAATGAAAGATCATACACAGAACCGCATTATAAGGGGGACTTCTATGTTACTTTTTTTCTTCGAGGGCTTCATTAAAAAAATACGGGGTGTTGAAGTTTAAAAAAAAAATGTAATATCTTCAAAACCGTCAACTGGAATGAACTAAAATTTGGTATGTTTCAACACAAATTTTCTAGAACTGTCACATCGTTTCAATGCAAACTCATACTTTTCTAGAGAATTGCATAGAAAATACCTATGTTAGATGATGTTCCGTTAGCAACGAGAGTACGAATGTGATATCAGCACGACGATGCCTCACCGCATGTTCATCGTGACATGGTTAAATATTCATTTTAGATAACGATGGATTGGCAGAAAGGGACCCGTACATTGGCCTGCGAGGTCTCCTGATTTGAATCCCCTGGATTTCTTTCTGTAGGGCGCTTTTAAATAATTAGTGTATGCAAAACAAATTAGTAATTTACTTTATTCTTTATTAAAAAGATGCCGCACCTATATCCGTCAGAATGGTGATCTTTTTGAACATTTTTTGGAATAAAACATTGAGTATCTAATTCCTTTTTTTTACGAAAACAATGCACTCTAAGAGAAAAACAAGGGTAATTATTTGTGGCAAATTGAGGGTAAAATTCGACAAATTGCGCGTTTTGAAAAAACAACTGGCGTACTATTTTTATTTGGAAAAATAGTGCCACTAATCCCCTGTATCTCCGCCACTGGCGCACATTAATTTTAAGTAAAAACTTTGAATGTGGACAATAGTTGGATAAATCCACACACCAAATTCTAGTTCATTCCAGTTGACGGTTTTGGAGTTATTAAAAAAATGTTTTTTATTTTTAAACCTCAACACATTTCTAATGAAGCCCTCGGGGAAAGAATGTTACATTAAAGACACCCCTTAAAATGCGTTCCTGTGTACGATGTTTCATTTTTGGTCACGACTTGTGAATCACCCTGTATACCTATATGATACACGTGATGTGATATGCAATCGATGTTCGAAAATATGTTACGTTATGACCTCATCTAGGCGTGCCTTTAGACTCTCATTGAGATTCAGTATAGTAATAATTCCGATGTAACTGTTCCGTGATACGAAGTTGTACGGAAGAGACATGAAGACTTGTTGGAAGTGCCATGGGGCACATTCATTCCGAAATCTACTCAACGTCCACGCAGATCGCCGATGCATACGCAACTCTCGTTTATATCAAATACGTAAACAACTTCAATGGAACATTTGCATAAACCAGCGAAAATACCGTAAACGTTCTTAGGCCGTTTGATAAATTGAATCGATTATTTGATTTATTTTAACGATGGAAGATTTTAGCGGCATCGTTTTCTGCTTCTGTAAGAACATGTTACACCATAAGCTTGGGAACAGAAAAACAACACAACGCATAGCACGAAATATGATGCCTGCCTGCATGAATCCTTCACGTACAATAATTTAGTGAACTTGCATCTAAAAGCGATTCCTAAAAAAAATATTCCAATATTCCAATGCAATCAAAAATTGTTAGAAACTTTTGAAACATATAAAAACCAGTGAATCTGATACAAAACATACAGAAAAAGTGGTACAGTTAATTTATTTTGGATTTATAGTGTTTTGGGTATTACGGTCTCCTCATCAATAATCTCCATGGGCAAAGACTTCGATAAAAATGAACGGTTTTAGAAATATAGGGGATCAAACGAAGGTCCGATATATTTTCTGGGTGAGGAATGACAGCCCCATCTAGCGAACACATATACAATTTAAAACAAAAAATAAAACGTCAAGTCGTTGACTAAGTGGGCTGGTGCATGGATAGTTCCTTCGCGCTTGCTACAAGTGAACATGAAGTAAACGACAGCTATTCCAAGTTGACGTCTTGGAAAAAACCTACATAATGTCAAGAAATCGACGTAGTGTCACTTTTCAAGTTACGCCATGACTGGATTTGGAATTAGGAATAAGTTGATTTCTCAACTGACAGTTGTGGTTTGACAGAAAAATATTTCGACCAGTCAGTATTTGCACACTTACACATGGTAACACGTTGTTTGTATTCGATGTGACGCTTCTCGCTCTTTTCTAGATATTCAACAAAATAGACGCCCATGTATCTTGTAGCTGTACAAGATACGCTTTCTATTGACGTTTATACTAGACTACATACCAACTATTTGGCAAGTTAATACTTGACGTAACTCCTGAAACTCGTTCTGTGGTTTTCATCTTAATAGAGCTCCATTATAGGATAAATGAAACAAATAAATTATTAAGCAACCCTTTGCTTTATTTTGTGACTCCTAACATATTTTACTTTATTAAACTCTTCCGAACGGCCTTACACGGAACAGGGCTCCATACGAGTACATGGCCAACGTTATAAACCAGCGGTTGGACTTGAAACTAACCCTGCGATTAAAAAATCTGCTGATATTACTTTAATTAGGTCTTTCACTAAAATTAAATATTAAACACCTCCAATAATATATTCTCATAAAAACGGTCAATGATCGCTATCGTAAAACTTAGACTGTATTCATGGAAATATTTTCTAAATAATTTTAATGACTTTTATACTGATGCCAAATAAGTTCTAAGTTTATGATTTGGTTTAAAAAACAATTTTTAAACTGATCAAAATGGCATTTTTATGTAAGAGGAAAATGTTCCAAATGTCGTAGGAAGTCTATAATTAAAGAAATGAAGGAGAATAAAAGTTCATTTAAGTTTTCATGTAAGCTAGGATTATAATTTTAACGTCGACGACCGATGTCAACAATGCGAGGTCCCGCATTGACAAAATATCGCGTCTATGTCCTTGAATTCGATGCATATAAGTGTGGGTAGAACGAATTTATCATTACTTGGCAAAAACCACATTTCAATAATTCGCCTTACAAGGAGAATGACCTTCCTTTTTGACAAATGTCATTTCTCTAATCATCCCAAAAGCTTTAGTGATATTCCATCTATACCTACCGAAATCATCTAACATTCAAACTTATTTATAAGTTATTACATTGTAGATCTTAAAATTCCTATGTAAGCTCTAAACTCTACAAACAGATGTACTTAAGGTCGTCGTATAATGACCATATAAGGTATCAGATATCCATAAGAGATAGAACGTAATTATGAACACTTTAAGGCGGGCAGACAGAAATTCCTACGGTTGCCCAGATAGTTTATAAATCATTAGAATGTCGTTAGAGATCGTCGACACTGATTTCCAAAAAATAACAGAGAAACCAAGGAGTCTACACATAAATTATTAAATAATTATCAACTCGTACTACCTTGATCTTAATACCTGTTAGTAATTAGGCAACTTTTACTAGCCATAAATTATATAATATTTTCATCTGGTTGGATGATAATATGGTAATTAGATTATAATTTTGTCGGATCCATCGCGAAATGGAAATAGCACATTACTGACACTAACATCAGTGCGTTAGGGCTAGTAGGGGCCAAATGATAAATCAAACATTTTTACGGGATTCTAAATGCTAGCTGTCGTGATAAGAAGTTATCAAAATTTAAACAGTGGTTCAATAAGTAATTCAAGAAAAATTTTTTTTTCTTGGCCAAAACCTAAGAACCCTCAAAAATCTCCCTTTTGCTACAAGTACTTTAAAAACTGTACATGTACATAGCTGAACTTTGAGTCTCAATGGGACTTTACACGACAAATCCCACTCACGAACAAAAGCCTTTTGCTAAGGTTTGTACGAGGTGCAAGACTTCAAGGAGAAACAACATTTTGGCAACTCTGATGTTGAAAATTTCAAAATATATGAGAATATTATTATTAATGTTCCAATCAATTGTGTCGTGTGCGCATCCCCTAACGCAGAACTCTTGCGACGCTCCTGTCTACTCGGTACACTGAAAATCAAAAAAAAAAAACAACGCAAAGATGATGTACTCACCACGCTATAAGTCGAGCTCGGTTCAGGCAGGTGAAGTCCTAGGTTATCATTAGGGAATAAATCTTGAATCCTGTCCAAGTCTCTTCTTCTACTGTTTAGTATGGGCTGCGAACTGCTTAGCAATCTTCCGTAATCGGCCAATCTTTCAGCCTGAAACAAAAACAAAATTGTATTCTTCCGTAACATTTTTTTATCATCATTGTAGTATTTAACTGCAACCCATTCTATATATTGTATTGAGGAGGACACACTTCCAAGATTGCAGTAGGACTGATTGGATCAGCTGTACATCCTCTAAAACAGTTTCTTCAGTCTAGAAGTTTAATTACTGCAGGCGGCAGTTTAGTTTGTAAGAACGCAATCATTCTTTCAACGAAAAGTACGTTGTATACACGGTGTTCACTTGGAAACTTCCCACCATTGATTAAAAGGAAAAAACTACTTCACCCTCTGCCCTCAGGGTCATCCCCTTGAAAATTTTAAATGACAAGGGATATCGAGTAACAGCTTGTTGAAAGGTCTGTCGAAGTCCTTCATTTTGACGTCGGTCGATTTGTTTACAAGAAAATTAGAAAAATCTTCATTTATCTTAATTTGTTCAGTCAGAAAACAAAAACTCATGGAAATATCACTTTTTATTTCAGTAAGTGTTAAAAAATTTGCCCGTGATTGGCCAAACAATGATAATGGCGATGATCAAATTTTATTATTATTTTCAAAAACATGTTGTGGGATATCATCGATGATGCGTTGACGAAGTTCATCTAAACTTTCAGGTTGGGGAGTAAACACAAAAGATTTCAAATGGGCATACGGAAAAAAGTCTAATGGCGTCAAATCAGGAGATCTAGCAGGCCATTCTATAGGCCCTCTCCCCCCTAAAGATTTATCTGGAAACTCGTAGTCTAGCCATTGCTGAACTGGGACAACATAGTGAGGAGGAGCGCCGTCTTGCTGGAAATATGTTTCAGCCTCATCCTCTTCCATTTAGTTTTTAATGGTTTCAGTGATAAGCGGATTGATGGTATTTTCCAACATATCCAAATAAATGTCTACATTCAAATTTGCATTAATAAACAATGACCCAATCGCTTTGTTTCCTAAAATGCCTGCCCACACATTAATTTTTTGGGGGTACTGGGTATCCCTTCTGCAAAAGCATGAGGATTCTCATTGCTCCAGTACCTGCAGTTATGCTAACCAACAAATCCATTTAGATAAAATGTGCATTCATCGCTGAAGCACATATTCTTTACATGAATGGAATTATCATTAATCGCTGCAGTCATTTGTTCACAAAAGTCAACTCGCCTATCGAAATCATGTTCGGTTAACTCTTGCAATATTTTCATTTTGAATGGATGAAATTTATGGAGTTTAGTAACTGCGTGTACAGAGCCTGATGAAATACCAGTCGCAGCAACAATCTTGCGTAATGAAGTATTAGAATTTATTCCAAATGACCAAAAACTTCAACTTGAGCGGCATCATCCAAAACTCTCCGACGATCACGTTTTTTATTTGCAACAGATCCAGTTTAAGCAAATTTAGTTACAAGGTCCAAAACGTACCTATGCGAAGTTATGTTCCCCGGATGCCTGGAATTAAACTTGATGGTAGTTTGCCAAGCACATTGATTAAATATATAATATAATAATTTAGAATCATTTCCACTCTTTCGGCTAGTATGTAGACCATTTTGAAAGTAAAATCTTAATCAATAAATTATTTTTCACTATCCCAAGATTGTCACAAACGTAACTGAAAGCAAATTAAATTCTTTCTTTCCCTTATCAATAAGTAACTAATAATAATAACTCGGATTTTGTCTGGTATCACTATAAATACAGTTTGCCCAGGATATCTGTGTTGATGACAAAAATGCGGAAAAGAGTTCGGGTTGTTATTTGGTTGTTGCTACGTCTGATCTTCCGAATTGCTGTTTATGTTGGTAGTTTCCGTTCTAAATTATAAACGAATTGTAGATTTGGCAAATCCTAACGGGCAACATTTTGAACACTTATTGAAATAAAAGTGATATTTTCGAGTGTTTTTGTTTTCTATCTGAACAAATTAAGATAAAGAAATATTTTTCTTATTTTCTCGAAGACAAATTGTCTGATTTTAAAAAATCAAACGTTAGGTTAAAGGACTTCGAAAGACCTTTGAAACAAGCTCTTACTCGATACCCCTTGTCATTTAAAATGTTTAAGGAAATGACCCTGGGGGCCCGAGGATGAAAGGGGGTGGAGCAGTTTTTGTTAAAAAGGAGTCCTCTTTGACAAATGTTTTGGCTTTTTCTTTTAATCAGTGATTTTCGATTAATCCGTGGTGGGAAGTTTTTAAATGAATATATCTGCAGAAGTTTGTCCATACCGCCAAACATGATTACTGAAGCATTGGAAGCATGTATAGAAGAGATTGTCATTTGAATTTATATAACTTTCTAAAATATTTTATCAAATGGATTCTAGGTGAATGGTTTTAAATAATGTGTTAGTGTTAGATCATCAATGAATTCAGCGGTCTGGGCATTCGCAGAAAGTGAATGCGAAATGCAAACGGTCGGTCCCATGGTGATTGAAAAACAATACGCATACACATCACTGACGATAGTATTTAGTGAAAGGGGTTCGTTCGCTCCAAACTAATGCGAATCTATCACGATATTTTATTCCAATCGGTGAAAGGCCTAGGACATCAGATATACAGACACATACAAGGTGATGCAGCTAGTGATGTCATCGCAATATTGAATCTTAAGAGATTCTAGAAGACCCCTCATTTGCAGAGAAATCGGACAGGTTTTCTAACAGAATCAATATTCCGTCAGTAAACATTTCAATATCCAAAGATCTTAAAAGTGCAAGTTCTGAGTATAGATAAGCTGGTATCGCCTACAGAGATAAGCACAACAAAGCAGTTTGTAGTACCGAAGACCAGCACTATGGCAGTTGCTCTTTCTGGACGCTGGCTAAACAGATCTAAGAGAATTTAGCCAAAAAGTAGCTAAGATGTCTCGGTTGTGATCGACTCCAAGGAAGCTCCTCCCCCATCTTCTTAGAATCTTTGAGATACCATACGACTCCGGAAGCTGAGATTAATAATTGTAGACCCATAGTTCTGCTGCCTGTGGTTAGCAGTGAAAGTTATGTAAAACCACTTAAATACGGAGTTTCCGAAGCACCGTAGCTTGATTAGCATCCACTTTTTGATTGATAAAGATAGGTCATATGATTTCCTAAAATTTGGTGAATCAAGAGTGTTGTCAATATCTCAGGTTAGATAGACACCATACTTATTCAGATAAGTGAGTGCATCGCACTTGTGCATCATCCTGTATAGTACTGAATGAGGTACATACTTTCAATTTCTACATCTGCGATGTTTTTATAGATCACGTTTATTATTACGACTGATCCAATTGCTCTGCGTGCACTCTGCGTAATAGGCTCCCGACTTTCTTCCATTTAGATGCAGTGCGTTGATACCACCCGAGCGATTCTTATCAGTGAACCTGCTACAGCAATGTATAGTTTAGAAGATTAGTTATATTTCCTGCTCATTTTACTTGTATTATATTACCGTCTCACTAAGATAAGCAATATCGCATTCTCCTCGAGAAAATACTCCGTTTCAACTTTTCTAAACAAAATGTAACCCGAATTTCTATCATTCCAGAAAAACTATTGGAAGAGAACTTTGCATATGCGTCACACTTCAGGATTCAATATTTAAAGTCAGAAGGTGGGGTTCCTGACGTCTTCCAGTTTCCTTGAACTAGAATAGATTGGATGAAGCTGGACTCCAAAATGACATAATTATCGATTTTCGAAAAGAGATATTTTTTCGGATGTTATGCGACGTATATCACAAAAAACCGTGTCACTCATTTCCGTCGATCTGCCTGTCTTCTAATCCTTGGCCCGTCTATATGTATAGCTTTAAAAATACCGCTCGGATTTCGAAGGATGAAAAAGCTAGATAGGTTTTTGAAAATCGGTCGAGTGTCGGAAGAGCTGTGGGCAAAAAACGGAAGAAAATAAAAATCCGACAAACTGCTTTTTTGACATTTCAGAGACTCATTTATGGAAATTTTTTGTAGGGGCTAAAAATTGAGGGTAGTAGGGGAGGGCAGCAGAGCATTTATATGCTTCCAACTCCGGCAATTTTATACACCTAGAGCATCATATTTCATACACCCTGAGTTTCCTCACATATTTTTTTTACAGGTGAAATCTTTTAAAGCCACTCTCAGGCAGAAAAACTCGACAGCATTGCCCTGCCGGCCCTTCCCGCCCGAAGTTTGAAAAGAAATAACATATTCACTAAAAGCCCTGAGTCGTAATGCTGGCAGCATTTCTTCATAGTGGGTTGCGCTAGGTTCTCATACCGAAAGTATTAGTCATGTATTCTCTATCGTACAGTTACATAGTTTTATACCTATGTATGTGCATGTAAAACCGAGCAAAATGGAAACCTATTATTGGTTCCTTGGTCTATTTCTGTTCCTCAAGACCTTACTCAGTACTCACTCACTATTGGTTGGATATCAACCCATTCTCACTCGCCTATATGCGTGGCAAAGTTGTCAGCAGTGAGCCTCTCGCCAAGGGCCAGTTCGAGGCGTGTCTGGTAGTCAACTCACCGATCATTTTAAACTTGGTGATTAGGAGTATCCTCCTCTTCATTGCAATATACCGCTTACCTTCTTTTTCCTGTCTTGTTCAAGTAGCTGTCAAAAGAACCATATCCTGTGAGGAACTGTACGGTATAGAAATCTATCCTCAACGCTTCCTTGTCAATACCAGTTTTAGTATCTGGGATCAGCCTTCTAGCCCAAGTACCATGGCCAGTTGCATACCATGTGTCCTGCCATCTGACAAAAAGCGTCTTCCTTTCGTCGCTTGTACCTTCAACGCCCTTTTTATCGAGCGTATTTATCTCCGTAGCCAGCAAATCAATTGGCAGGTTACCAGCCACCACCAGCAGTGCATCGTTTCACACCGTTCTGTAAGCGCATACCACGCGCAGCATTACTTTTCCCTGGATTCTCAATATTAGCTGTCTATATTTCTTTTTCCTCAAGGCCTTGTTATATTAGTATGTGTATATAGGAGCTTTGTACGGCATAATCGAATTTGCTACCC